GTTATAAGGAATGAGGTTCAGGGACACTCCAAATGGTCAAATAGTTCCATATCGGTCAGCTCAACCTACTGAAAGTACTGCGACTGCCAAAGCAACCAGGCAATAATCTGTCTTGGAAGACGAGCAGCCAGAAGGCGAGGATGGTGAGACTGCATGTGGTCAGGAGAGAGCAGTCCCCGGAGAAGGACTTCATGCTTGGTGGGGCGGAGGGGCAGTGACAAAGGGGAAGGCCCTGGACAGGATGGATGGACACAGTGGCTGCAACGAGGGCTCAGACGTAAGAAGCACCGAGAGGCTGGCGCAGACCCGGCCAGTGTCCGTCCTGCCGTGCACAGGGCCACGGTGAGTCGGCACCGACTCGGCAGCGCCTAATACCACCCTCACCACCGTTCGCAGACCCAGCTTGGCAGCTGGTTTCCTCTGGCTTTAAATGTTCATCCTTAGCTTCCGCCCACTCCCTTCAAGAGTCTTCCAGGACGGGCCTCTGAAAGGCAAACAACGAACTGCTACAAAGTAACGACCAGCTTCGCGGGTTGTTTTTTTTTTTAATTACCGGGGGGGCGGGACAGCCTGGGATAAACATGGCTGATTACATAGTACCCACCGGTCTCCATGCTGTTTCCCCTTAGGGACTGTTATTTCTGATTCTATCCTGAAGATAAATTGCTAGAGGAGAAATAGCTGTGACAAAAGGGGGAACCACTACTTTTTAAGAGAGAAAAAAGCTCCCCCGCCACCTCCAGCCCCCCAAGATAATGAGCTGGAGACTAGAGCATGGGTGTGTGTGTGTGGTGTTGTCTTTATCTTTCCTTCTTCTTCCTCTTTTTCACTATTCTGTGGATTTTCTGGAATGTGGTTAAATTCTATTCACAATTAACTAGGATTCACTGTCAGGTGATGGGGGGCTTGGGATGTCCTCTTCCCAGGGAAGAATCTGAGTCTTAAAATAGAATAATTAGAAGGAAGAATGTTAATTAGAGACCAGAGAGAAAATGAAGACTTGATTGGGAATTTTAAGTGGAGCTCTCATAAGCCCTGTCATTCTGAGCATGCTTTTGAGGGAGGCTGGGGCAGCGTGGGAATTTGCTGATTCAGCGGTGAGCGTCACAGCATGCCCACTGTCACAGGCTCACATTTGGGTCGGGGCTGGCCTCCAGAGACTACGGGCTGCTGTCTGTTCTGCGTCAGAACTGCCCAGACCAGGGGGATCCCTATCCAGTGCTCTCCAGGGCAGTGTCTGTCCAGTGCAGGGAAGGGAAGGGCGGACCGGCCACTCAGCCGCTCACCTTGGCCAGTTGCTGCCCAGTCTCAGTGGGCACCTGCCGCTGCTCCTCACAGTCCATCTTGTTGCCCAGAAGAAGGATGACCGCCTTATCGGACCCTGCATCCTACACACAGAACAGGTTCTCTGAGCCACAGCTTGTACTCAACGCTGGGCCTGGGCAGTTCTGACCCTGCCTTCCCGGGAACTGAGACCAGTGTCCTGCTCCTGGCATGTGACCAGGGTTATGGGCCTGCCTCTCCCTGCCTCGCCCCTCCACACCCTTCCATCTCACCCAGCCCCTGTCCCGTGTTACAGTGAATTTGCCCTTCCTCTCCACCTGCAGACACCTCACCCACCTTCCAAGACCAGCCTCAAGGTCACCTCCTCCAGGAAGCCTCCGTGGATGGCTCCTGTACATGCCCCACTCTTCCTCTCAGTGATGAGGTCCTTGATAACCCAGCATGCCTCCACTCGTTTCTTAACCATTCCATGTATAATAGTAACAATAGCTCGTGTGTGCTGAGTTCTTGCTACATACCAGGTGCCGTGCCAAAGGCAATTAGAGATCCGTTCACCCCGACCACTCCCCTAGGAGAGGAGTGAGGAGAACCGAGTGCAGAGAGGTGAAGTGGCTTGTGTACGGTCAGAGGATTCATAGGCTGGGTAGTCGGGATTCAAGCCCAGGTCCTCAGACCTCAGAGCCCCATCTCTTGCCTCAGGCATTACTGTATCCCACTTCCTTTTTCTCTCTTCCACTGGACTAGAAACTTCTGGAGAGAAGCCCGGCCTGTATTTTAGTGCCCACATGTCCATTCAGTGAGTGTGGGACGTGCCTTATTGCCTGGGCTGAAGAAGAAGAGACCACAAACGGGCCTAGGATGGGTGTGTATAGGAAAGAAAGTTTCACAGGATAATGGAAGTAGTCTAGATTGGGGCTGTACTGTGTGGTTGGGGTTTCTTTGTACTACGAAGCCCAATTCATTTCATCACATGCCCTCAGGGGGAGGAATGGCCCAGATGTCCGCTGTTCCATTTGTAATTCTGGGAGGAAAGACGTGGGCAAGGTACATGGGTCCTCCTGACCACAAAAACTGGGGTCACCCCTGGTGCAGCCACCCCACCTCCACCCCCAACCCCCAACTCACCTGGAGACAGTCCAGCCAATAGCGCACGTGGGCAAAGCTCGCCTGGTTGGTAACGTCATACATGAGCACCACCCCATCAGCCTTGCGGAGTAGCTGCCGGGTCATGCTGTGGTACCTGCCCAGAGAGTCTGCGTGAGGCCACGCCAGGCTGCCGGATGCCAGGCCTCGGCCTCTCCGGGCCTCGCCACCCCATCAACAAACCAAATGCAAACACCCCACCGCCATGAAGTCCCTTCCAACCAACCAGACGACAGAGTAGCCTTCCCCACGGGGTTTCCCCGACTGTGACTCTGCACAGACGGCCTTAGTGCTCTCCCTTGGGGCTGTGGGTGGATTTGATCCGCCAACCTGGAGGTTGGCAGCTCAGCACTTAGCACCCCTACACCCCTAGGGCTCCTCTGTCTGTCAGGTGGGGAGACTTCACCTGTCCGGATTCCCTGAGAGAGTCTGCGCAGGGTCTGCTCTTGACCGGGCAGCTCTGGTTGGACAGGTCACGTGTCCCACTGCTCCAATGTCACAAGGGACCCGAGGGTACTTCGGACAAGTCTTCCTCCCCTACTCTGTCCCCGCCCTGCCCCCTTCCCACAGGGACCTGGATGCCCAGTCCCTTAACTATGTCTAATTCTGTTCAGATAGGGGTACAGATGCATATGTGTGTATAGATATGTGTACCCACACACACATACAAGAAGGTATCAAAAATGTGTGCCAAACGGAATGGAAAGGGCATTCCCCACACGCTTTTTGAAGCCCCCTCGTACACACACCGATGTCTTCCCTTCTGTGTGACACCAAACCGTGTAAGACATTCACCACACTCTTCAAGACTCAGCTTCCTGCACCTTGTATTTTCCCATGGACAAAACGCGGTGGAGCAATCTCCCTGTCGGTCCACGACGAGGGTGCTCGGTCTTTCTGTGGCATCAGCGTAGACCTTCCTTTATTGAGCTAGTGCCCTGCTGATGGACATGTGGATTGCTGCCACTGTTTGGAGATGTGAATAATCTCAGTCCCTCCGTGGTTATAGGGTGGGTGAAGGACAGAGTTCCAGAACAGCTAGGCCAAGGAGCCTTTTGAGTTTGATCAGCACGGCTTGGCTGGGAAGGAGGTTCAGCAGGAGGTGACTGAGACAGCCCTTGTCTATAGACTGCCAGGCGGTGCCAGTTGCTCTGTCACCGCTGGCTTGGTCTTGGTCCAAGCTCCTTCCCTGGAGCTTTTCCTGACATCCTGAACCCTCTGGTGGCTGATGGCCCATTTGCACTTAGTAGCCGCCTGCTCCCAGACCCTCTGTTCCCCCAGGCTCAGCCAGTGTCCCAAACACCACCAACGACCCACCAAGGGGGAACCTGGCCACAAAGGCCCTTACCTCTCCTGACCGGCCGTGTCCCAGAGCTGCAGCGCAAACAGCTTGTTGTCCACCAGCAGGGTTTTGACCCGAAAATCCACTCCTAGGACACACACACACACACACACACACACACACACACACACACACAGAGGGCAAGGGCTCATGTTACCATCCAGGAAGTCTGGCCAAAACCAAACACAACACCAGGGGCTGCGGTGAGGGCATCCTGACTCCCGTGTGTCAGAGTGGGCCATGCCCGTAGGGTTTGCCACGGCTGAGCATGGGCAAGTAGACTGCCGACTGCCAGGTCTTTCTTTTGAGGGACCTCCGGCAGCCTTGAAGCAAAAGGTGAGCAGCCAAGTGCATTAGCCATTGACCCCACCCAAGACTCCACTAGCTCATGTGCCCAGATACACGTGTACCTGTGCTCAACGATAGTCATGGTGGGCGGGAGCTGTGCGCAGGGGGGGGGGGGGGCCTTCCTCTCTGGGCCATGGAGGTCACTACCTCCGAACGGCTTGACCACGCTGCACTCCATTCGTGGCCATCAGTGCCAAGGGCAGCCCAAGACCCCCATGTTATATTTCTCTCCAGCCATTCACCTCTTTTGGAACGAGAAAACCACTCGTACACTTGAGTTTTTCCCAAGCACCATCCTTGTAAACTGTGTTCAACTGTGTTCAACATCACAACAGTTTCTGTGGCATTTTTCCTGAGCAGGAAGCAAATTTTCCCAGCCCCACGCTGTTGTCTTAAATCGGCCATCACCAAAAATGAGATTCGGGTGAAATGCTTTTACCATAAAATTCACTGTGACCAGAGAGACTTCCCAGGCAACGCCACTGGGTGCACTAACTCAGAGCGAGTTGCTCCCAAATTTCACAGCTCACCCCTTCTTGTGCTGCTGCTACCTCAGACCCTTTCTGTCCCCGGTGCAGTGGCTGTGCGTTGGGCTGCTAACCATAAGATAAGCAGTTCAAAGCCACCAGCTGCTCCCTGGGAGAAAGATGAGGCTTTCTATTCCCGGGAAGAGTGACAGACCCAGAAACTCACAGGGACAGTTCTACCCTGTTGCACAGGGTCGCTATGAATCGGCATCAACTCACAGGGACAGTTCCACCCTGTTGTACAGGGTCGCTATGAGTCGGCATTAACTCACAGGGACAGTTCCACCCTGTTGTACAGGGTTGCTATGAGTCGGCATCAACTTGGCGGCACTGAGTTAGGTGCTGGTTTTTGGAGGGAACCCTTCCAGGGAGGTTTAGTATCTTGAGAGGACCTTGTCCTGTAACAGCCGCTCTTCCCAAGGAAGCGGGGCCAGGTGAATGGAGAGAGGGTGACTCAGGGCCAGACAATGCTCTTGACCGGTGAGGCTGGAATTGCCATCCGCGCCCCCCCTCCCAGCCCCCCAGTAGTATTAAAGCCTGCATGGACAATAGCCACCAGGTGGTGCTAAACCGCAGCTAGGATTTGGGGTGGATTTGAATCCTGGGGCTAGGGATCTCAGGGTCTCCCAGCCACGCTAGCAGGGCAAACAGCTTTACTCTGTCCTTTTACAGCCCCGCGGCCGTGTTTTTACTTATTTATTTTTCTTGATTGAATGTTGTAGAGCCTTCTTACCACATAATAACGGGAAGGCTAAATTATAAGGAGGGTTCTTGAAGGCCTAAGACAGAGAAGACGCCTGGTGCATTGTAGGGTGGTCAGTAAACAGTAGCTAGGCGCGTTAATGAGGGGAGCCCTGCAGACACTGTGACTCTGCCCGACACCAGGCCCGGCCTACTGGGGCTCCCCCAGCCCAAGGCAGCTGTGAACAAGCACCACAAGTGAAGGCCCTTAGACCAAGGCTTGAGAACCCGTGCTGGGTCCCTTGTGTGCAGGGGCTGTCATCTGTCTCCTAGGGCACCGGTCCCCAGCCTGCACATGCCCTGGATGATCCAAAGATTTAGGCCGCTCCATCTTCGCCCCTAAGTGGGTCCCCCGCTTCAATCTTATTTTTCTTTAGTCCTAATCAAGTGTCCCTGACAAAGTAACAACAGAACACCCCTGTTGTCACTGAATCAATTCCTACTCAAGGTGACCCCCCGAGAACTGGGCTCCACCGGATTCTCAGTGACTGATTTTTTGGAAGGAGATCACCAGGCTTTTCTTCTGAGGCGCATCCGAGTGGACTCAAACGTCCAACATTCCAGTAGCTGCCAAGCACGTTCACTGTTTGGACCTAGCAAGTGGCCATATCTCACTAACCACTACCATCGAGTTGGCGCCGACTCATAGCAACCCTGTAGTACAGGTTAGAACTGCCTCTGTGGGTTTCCAAGACCAACTCTTTACGGCATTGCATTGGGCAAATCTGCTGCACAAGCCCTCTTTCAAGCGCTGCAAAGCCAGGAGGTTGCTTTGAGGGTGAAGGTGGGCCCCACTCAAGCGGCAGTGCTTCCTGTCACTTCAGATGCATCGAGAGCTGGACACTGAACAAGGAAGGCTGAGGAGGAATCGGCGCGTTTGCATTGCGGTGCCGGCGCCCAATCTCGAGAGTCCCACGGACTGCCGAAAGAGCCGCCACCACATCTGTTTTAGAAGGTTTCTTAGACGTGAGGATGGCGAGACTCGGTCTCGCCTACTTTGGACATGTATCGGGAGAGACCAGTCCTTGGTAAAGGAGAGGGGCGGCAACAAAGAAGAAGACCTTGGACAAGATGGGTGGACACGGTGATGCCACCTGGGCTCAAACATCAGGATTGTGCCAGTGGCACAGGACCGAGCGGTGTTTCGTTCTGTTGTGCACCGCGCTGCGATGAGGCGGCACCAACTCCGTGGCACCTAACACCGCCTCTTTATGGGAGCTGAAAGCTTTGTGCTTTGGGGGTTCATCTGCAGGGGTCACTGGATTAGATATTAGCAAAGACGTATTTATAAGAATGACGACATGCTGTGCCCTATAATAGTGCCTGGGCGCTAGGCGCTACTTTATATGCCTGCTGCGGGTCAGCTAATCCTGATACTAGGACTCTAGAGAATCCACATATGTGGCTCCCTTACCAGAGGAGGGTCAAAGGGCTCAGAACGCTTTTAAAAACAAACCTACTGCCATTCAGTTGATTCCAGCTCATAGCGGCCCTTACAGAACAGAGTAGAACTTCTCCCTCGGGTTTGAGTCTGTAAATCTTTCATGGGAGCAAACATCCTCTTCTTTCTCCCTCTGAACGGCTGGTGGGTTTGAACTACTACCCCACCAGGGTTCCTAGCGACCCTCTAGAGCAGGGTGGGGGGACGTTTGGGCCCGTGGGTGTAAGGCCTGCAAAATCTTCAGTACTGGCTAACATCACGCAGCTCATGGGAGACAAGCCGTTCCAGCCATCATAGTAGGGGAGAGTTAGTTAAATGTTTGAGCAGCGGCTCTTACCCAATATCCCAGTGGCTCTTAGCAGAAAAAAAATGTTCCCCAGCCCTGCTCTAAAACTACTGCCAATCTAGTCATTGATTCTGATGCATAGTGACCCTCTGGGACAGGGCAGAACTGCCCCCTGTGAGTTTCCAATACGGTAACTCTTCCGCTGTGTAGAAAGCCTGATGTCTCTCCTGCGCAGGGACTGGTGGTTTTGAACTGATGGCCCTGTGGTTATCAGTCCATAGAATAACCCACTGCACCCCCAGGGCCCCTGTCTGTGCTCCAGAGAGATTCACTAACTTTCCAGGGTCAGACTGTAAGTGGCAGAGGTGGGATTTGAACTCCAGCACCTGGTTTCCTAGTGCCTCACACTCTAAACACAACCTAGGTAGAAAATGGCCCATGGTGATTTCTTGCCAGTGCAGGGCTGGCTGGCCTGGAGCCAGTCAGGAGCAGCCCCAGCCGTCATGGGCCCTGCAGCTCCCTGCCCTCGGGCCACGTGTGTGGAGACTTTCTTGTTCTCACCCCCACCTAGAGCTGGCACCTAAATTGCAGGGTGCTTTGTTGATGGGGCACATTATAAACTAATCAGATCAATGGAGAAAAGGCAAATTACCTGTCATTAGAGATGATTAGTAAAGTAGTGAGATTAATGCCCATATAAGATCCTGTTTCTCCTGAGGCCCTTGGCCCGGGCAGAACTTGCAGTAACATCAGGGCTGGCCCACCTCCAGCCTGCTCCACCTTGCTGGCCCAGGCCCCAGGCCGCCCCTCCCTGGTTGGGCACTTACCCACGGTAGCAGACAGCCCAGTGGCAAAGGAGTTCTGATACAGCAGGTGCAGGAAGGAGGTCTTGCCCACGTTGGAGTCCCCCAGGAAGATGACATGGAAAACGTAGTCAGGCTCAGCCTGACACTCGTTGGCCGGGAGCTCCCCTGCCAGTGGGGATCGCTCAGCCTCCTGGGCGTCCATCGCTGAGTTCTCAGGCCTGGTTTCTGCCCTCCACTCCCTGGTTTGAGGGGCGCCCTGCTCTCCTGGTTTCTCAGTCATGGGTAGGGGCCTGGGCTGGGCTGCCAGCTCAACCGTGGTGGGGAGGGTGGGTGTGGGCCCTTGGGGACCTGCTCCCTCAGCAGACTGAGCCCCTGTGGGGACGGGGCTGCCTGGAGCTGGGGGCTTCTCATGAGCGGGGACCTCTGCTTCAGCCTGAGCCTGGGGTGGGTCGGGGGACTGAGGGGCATCTTGTGAGGGGTGTTCTGAAGGCCCAGCTCCCAGGCCCTCGGCCTCAGCCGACTGCTCTGCACCCGTGTCCTGCCCGCCTTGGGCATCTTGTTGCTCTTGCTCAGCCCTGGGCTTCTCTTCCAGACGCTGCTGGGGGAGAGCAGGCAGCTCATCTGGCCTGCAAACCTGGCCATGAGCCCCTCTTAGTCCCCCAGGGTGGCCCTCCTGCTCAGCTGGAACCAGCAGGCCTGGCTGCAGCCCCTCTGTGGCAGCTGGGGGTTCCAGCTCCTGGGAAGGCCCAGGCATGAGGGCCCCAGACCCTGGAAGCCGTGGCTTTTGCTCAGAATCTGCTGTATGTGGGTCCTGAAGGAGGGGCTCTGTCTGCCCGGGTGCCCTGGCTGGGGCAGCCTCAGGGTCCTGGCCCTTGTCATCCGGGTCTAAATCCTGGAATAATTCCCCGGGCCCAGCAGGGGCCTGGGGAAGGGGAGGTTCTGCCTGAGGAGGGGACCCCTCTTCCAAAGGGATGAGCATTTTGAGTGTGGCTGCCACCAGGCCCCCTGACTCCCTAGCCGGGACCCCTGGGAAGTCCCAGTGGAAGTGAGCCTCGAGACCAGGCCTTGACTCGTCCTTGGCTTCTGGGCCAGGAGGCTGCATAGGCTGCTCTGAACTGCTGTCCTTGCCATCCAGGCCCCCGCTTCCCCCTTCCTCGGCTCTAGGAGGGCCCCCGGGGGAGGTCCTTGGAGCCCCATCGAGATCTGAAGCTGGCTCCTGACCAAACGGCCAGGCACGTGGCTCCGAGATGGAGATGTGCCGGACCACGCGGGGTGTCTGCGGGGCCGAGGGGGCTCTCGGGGTTGGGGGCGGGCTCCAGGAGAGCTGTAAGGCTTGGGGGGCTGTTGGGGGACTGCTAAAGCTGCTCAGGAGCTGGTCCCAGTCATCATTGTCCCCAAACAGCCCAGGCAGGGGTGTCTCGTCAGGTGCGCTGGCCTGGGGATCTGGGGTCTTCTCTTGCCCTACTCGGTGATCACTGGAAAGGAAGAGGGAGGGGCCCAAAGGGGGAGGGCGTCACCCCAACCCCACCAACATCCCTCTCCATCCTTTGTACACCCACACCTGGCCCTCCCTCCCAGCCTCTGTTCCTGCAGCCCTGGTCACCTGGCATGCCCTCCCCCTCCTCCCCTCCTCCACTCCACAGAGGACCAACCACCTGATCAGTCTGGCCCCTGTCCCTCCTCCAAGCTACAACAAATAGAGTGAGTGCCTGCCAGAGAATCAGCATCCCATGAGGCTGTGTGTGTGTGTGTGTGTGTGTGTGTGTGTGTTCCAGCTGTGTGGCCTCGGGCATCGTGACTTTCCTCTGTGTGCCTCAGTTTGCTCCCTTGTGCCCTGCCCAGTGGGCACGATCACCCCCACCTGGCCCGGGTGTCAAAAGAATAAAGGAGGCAGCTTGTGTGGGCACAGCCTCCCCGTTCACCTCTTCCAGGAAGCCACCCAGGCCTGGTCACCACTTGCCTGTCCTCCTCCTCCATCTGCCAGGACACTCGACCCTTGGCCGCTTTCAGGTGCCCCCTGGTCTCCTGAAGCTGTCCCTGCACCTCCGCCAGCCGCCCAGCCAGGTCTCGCTCAGCCTCTCGAAGCTGCTGGTTCTCTGCACTGGCCTCCTGCTGGGTGCTGCTCAGAGTGTCCAGCTGGGTCTCCAGCTGTGGGGGGCAGGAGGGGGGCAGGTGGGGAGAGGAGCCCATTCGGCAAAGGCTCCCAAGGCCACTCAGGGGCCTAGACCACCTCCCCCCCATTAGGGCTCCTGGAGACCACGCTTAAAACAGGCTTGGGGTGGGCACCCACCTTGTCCTAATCAGCACCTCTTCCAGGGACACCCCCCTCCCCCATCCAGAAGAGGCGTTTTCACAGGCAGGACGAGAGAGGGCAAAACGAGGGACTCTAATTGCCGCACCACCAGGGCAGACGCATAAACCAGTCCTCGCCTCCTCTGCCGGCCCCCCGAGGCTGCTCAGCCCTGAGCCCCTGGGGACCTGCCCCACCAACCTGCTGACCTGACCACAAGCCCTGAGACTCCCAAGTAGAGTTCCGACTCCCTTTGCTCTGGGAGGAAGCTGGGGCTCAGAGCCTGCCCGTGGCCGGCCGCGCACTGACAATGGAGACGAGCGAATGTCACCGTCACCAAGCCCGTGCACTGTCAGCCCTCGCTCTTGTCCACGGAGGACCTCCCGACCCAGCAGACCTGTGCGAGGCAGTGGATGGGATCACCCGTCTCACAGGTGGGAAAACAGAGACCCTGGCAAGCATAGTGACGTTCTGGGCTAGCATGCCTCTGGTGGAGCCGCTCTAGTGGTGCTGTGGGTTAGGCGTTAGGCTGCTCACCTCTGGGTCAGAGGTTCACCCCACGAGCTGCACCCCAGGAGCATGAAGCTCCCTGCTCCCGCAGCCACGCGCGACTTCAAGAACCCCACACAGGCTTGTGATGAGTCGGAACTGACCCAAGGGGGAGTGAGTTCGGGTTTAAGTGGAACAACAGGGATTTGAACTCACGTCCCTTGGTTCCTCATTTAAGAAAAGGGACCCAGACACCTTTTCCCAGAGTACTGCTTTCCTGTGGAAGCCCTCACAGCCCAGGGTGGCCTCCAGATTAGAGGGGATGATGGCAGGCCACTTAGGACTGGCAGATCCACAGACCGGGTGACCAGGGACCATCACAGACTGGGCTATGGGGGACCATTGGCCGTGAGGCTCACCTCCCTGTGGCCCTGGGTCAGCTGCTGCACCTCACGCTCCTTGGCCTCTAGAACCTCGTGCATCTTCAAACTGAGGGCCAGGCCCCGTGAGTCGCTCTGGGGAACAGAGAGGCCTCAGCCGGCTGGGCTGACTCTCCCCGCACGCCCACCTGCACCCACTCAGGGGGACTCCTAGCTCGGGCTGAGGGTGTATCGGCAAGGAGACTGAGACCCAGCAAAGGGGCGTGCTGGTGGTGGGGTGCACAGGGAGCCCCCACAGAGACAGAAGGGTCCAGGCTCAGCACTGGCCACCCCGCCTTTCTGAGGGACTCCCACTGGCCAGAGCTGTGGGGGACTCCAACCCAGCAGCCCCCTGTGCCCTGCCCTCCACCCCCACGACTCAGCAGAGGAGTCTGGGCAGGGGTGAGGGGCAGCCACCGGGAGGGGCCCCACCTCGGCCTGCAGCTGCTGCCTCTCCTGGTGGATCTGCTGCTCCATCTCGTTGTACAGTTCCTGGACCTCCCGGTGGTGGTCAGAGTCACGCCTGGACAGGGTCAGGAGGGCAGGGGCTGGCTGGGGCCTTGCTGCTGGGCAGGGCTGGTCTGGACCCCCGTGTCAGTCCACTGTGGTATCCACCTCTCCCCAGCAGAGGTCGCTGACCCTGCCACTTTGAGGGCAGTCATCCTGACCTCTGTGACTTTGACACTGGTTCCCCTCACACCGACTCCCATAATCATCTCCAAGACCTGTCTCCAGACCCTGCCACACAGAATGCGTCACCCCATCACTCTGTCCCCACTGCCCTATGTCACCACCCTCCTGCCCCCACCGATGCCGAGCCCCAGGCAGGGGGTCACCACCAGTGTGGCCATCATGTGTCCAGCCCACCGCTCCGTCTCTTCCTGCAACTCCGCGCTGCCCCGTCCAGCCCCAAGGCGATTCCACTGAATTGTCAGGAGGTGCGCGGCGCTCAGTGTGAGCCCTTCCTGCGCACGTACCCACCCGCCCACTCACTTCCTCAGGGTCAGCTCCAGGGCCTCCTTGTCGGCCCTCGCCTCGTGCAAGCGACTGGTCATCTTGGCCAGAAAGCCTTCCAGGTTGCCTGCCAGGTGGGGCTCCTCCTGCCGCAGCTTCGCCCACAGCTGCCAGATCTCTGCCTGCCTGGGGGAGAGGGTAGCCGGAAGTTAGATAGGAGGTGGGACTAGAAGTAGGGGGAGCCCACTCTTTGGTTCTAATCACAGGGCTCCCAGAGATGTGGGCAAGGACCCCTGGTGGCTGCTCTGGGTTAGGTCCAAACCCACCAGCGACTCCTTGGGAGAAAGATGCAGCTGTCTGCTTGTTTAAGACACTTGGGCCTTTGGGCTTTACAACTCTCCGCCCACGCTGCAAAATGAAATTCACAGCCTCCCTCCTGTGGGCACCTTGCCTGAGGGGTCCTCTGCCTCCTAGAAGCCCCGAACACCTGGCCTCTCCGGGAGTCTGTCACCTGTTATACACTGAGTAGGAGCCCAGGCCTTCAACTGCTTTCTGCCTTCCCGCATGCTCGGTAGCTGTGTGCCCTCTGGCAGGTCTGGTGCCCTCTCTGAACTCATTGGAGGCTGGTGCCTGCCTAGCCAGCTGGGTGGAGAAGGAGACAGGTACCATGGAAGCACCAACTTGGGGCCTGGCACCTGGCTGGCACTCAATCCATGCTGCTTTCACACAGACTTCATTAAGTCTGAGCACGGGTGCCAGAGGGCTGAGCCAGGCCCTGCTGCCAAGTGGGTGAACAGCCCCCACCCCACCTGCTGTGCCAGCCTGTGTCCCAGGCCTCACCCTGCTGGCCACACCCTCCATCTGCCAGGCGTGAGCAATCTTGTCCCATTGAGGTGAGCAAGCCTGGCCACCCGGGAGAGGGTAAGCCCCTCACCAGCCCTGAGCTGGGGAGTGTCTGAGGGGGGGTGATTGGGGGTGGGGCACATTTTCACGTAAGCCCCCCTTCTCTGATGTATAAGCCAGAGACAATTAGGAGAGCTTGTTCTCCTGTCTACAAAGCCCTCCCTCAACCCTAGGTATCCCCAGCCTGTGTCACCCGGGGTGGGAAAGGCTCCCTTCAGGGACCCTTGTGTTTTCAAGCCTGGAAGGTCCCTTGAGAGACTGGCCCCCAGTAGACTAGCTCAGCTGGGGAGTGAGCCTGTAGGAGCCGAATGAGATGGGGTGAGCAGGCATGCAGGGGGTGCTTCTCGGGCCCCATCCATGCTGGCAGACAGGGAGCCAACTCCGACTCAGGGCCACCCCATATGCATCGGAGGGGAACTGTGCTCCACAGGGCGTTCCATGACCGGAAGACCACCAGGCCTTTCTTCCATGGCACCGTTGGATCGAGTCAAACCTCCAACCCATCAGGCACGCCCACCGAACCCCCACAACAGCCCTGGACAAGGAGCGCAGAACAGGGGCCGAGTGGCCAGGCCTGGTGCTGCAGACCCGCAGGGAGCAAGTAGTGCCCCTTGCTCTGCCCAGAGGCTCCCCCAGGGACCTGAGCGAGCCCCATCCCCCTACACAGGCTGCTGGCCTTACTCCGGAAGTAAGGGGCCGGCGCCCAGCTGCTCCAGGAAGGCAAGGAACGCCGCCTTCTCCTCGGCCTCGGCCTCGTCCAGAGCTGGGAAGCTGGCTGCTGCAGAGCCCCGCTTAGAGGGCACGGTCCTCCTCCTGCGGAGCCTGTGGGTGCTCAGGTTGGAGCCAAAGATGCTCTCTGTGGACAGAGGGGTTCAGAGGGGAGCACCCGTGCCTCCCACCCTCCGCTGCTCCAGCGCTGGGGACAGTTCGTCTGAGCTGTCAGAGTAAAATTGTGCTCCAAGGGGGCGGGGGTGGGGGTGGATTGGGGGGTTGGTTTGTTTTTTTTCAGTAGACCACCAGGGCTTTCTTCTGAGTGTACTTGAACCTTTCTGTTAGCAGAGACCGTTGACCTGTACCAGTGGGCTCACCACGAATCTGAATTACTCAAGAGCACTAGATTGGGGGCAAATCCCTACCCGCTATCTGTCGCCCTCCCTGCTGCTCCTCTGGGCCCGAGAGTCCCTTAAGCAAAGGCAAGCTGTGGACTTCCTGGGGCAGAAACAAGGGGAGTGGTCTCAAGAATGGGGGCAGGGTAACCTCTCACCCTAGAGAAGTCTCAGAAAACAAGCCCGGAGGCCTCCCTGGAGGAGGGGGGTAGCTCAGGGAGCCCCCATGGGTGGGAAGGGAAGCCTGGGAGTCTCAAGGCTCTGTTCTCGGGGTGTAGTGAAGGTCCCTGCCTCTTTGGGAAATGACTGTTGCCTTTCTGGCCAGTCCAGCCAAGTCTGGGGTGGGTCCACTTCGTGCAACATCTACCTGCGCAGGCAATCCCCCCGGGGCCCTCTCAGGACAGACATACTGAGACCAGAGCTGAATTCCTCCAGGGAGAGGCGTCCCTTCCGTTGCATGTCCACCCAGTCAAAGATCATTCCTGGCTCCTCCTCGCTGCCCAGGAAGCTGAACTTGGCCACCTGGAAAGAGGGCTGAGCTGAGTGGTTGTTCCCACCAGGGACACTCAAAAGAGGAGAGTGTTTGACTTAGACCACCCTCACCTCCCTTTTTCCAAGTTTTGGGGTCTCCCATACAACCTGCCTTGGGGTCTACCCTTGAGTCAAGTTCCCCAAGCCCATGCAAGAAGAGCCCCAGTCTGGCCCCAAACCCTTCCCTTCACCTCTCCAACATCAAAATGTGTCTAGTCTTTGGGACAGGGAGAACACTCCCAGATTGCATTTTGTGTCCAAACATGATCTGAAACCTAAAAATAAGGCTAAAAGGGAGACAATGGATCCTTCCAACAGGATAGAGGGACAAGGGCCACCCAAACATTTTCTAGCCTATATGAAAGTACTGCGTTTTCTTTGTGTGTTTGCTTGTTTGTTTACGGACTAGAGATCCCAGAAAGAAACCCTGGTAGAAGAGTAAGTTATGCATGAGACTGCTAACCACAAGGTGGGTGGTTCAAACCCACCAGCTGCCCTGAGAGAGAAAGATGAGGCTTTTTACTCCCATGCAGAGTTATAGTCTTGGAAACCCACAAGCGCAGATCTACTCTGCCCTTTAGGGTCGCTATGGATCGGAATACATTCAGTGGCAGATTTGAGAGATCCCAGACTTAATAAAGTAACATATTAACATGCAAATGTTTGGGGATGCAAATACTCTTTTAGTCACCTAATGAACACATAACTCAATAGATTAGGTCCTTGGTGACACAGTGGGTTAAGCTTTGGACTGCTAACTGAAAGGTAGCCAGTTTAAATGCAGCCATCAGCAGCTCCTCGGGAGAAAGATGAAGCTGTCAGCTTCCATAAAGATTTACAGCTCGGAAACCCTGGGGAGCAGTTCCCCTCTGTCCTAGAGGGTCGCCTGCCTCGGCGAGTCAGAATTGATCCAACAGCAGTGGATTTCAGACATTAACCGGCTTTATAAAACCCCACTTGGCAATATGAGTCAAATGTTTCTTTGCTAAGTTACCTTACTTGTAAGATGCTCTCTGGACTATAATTGCCCTCATTCATTCATGAGCTAAAAAGGGTCTTGGATAGGTGTTCAAGGCGCTGTGTTTTAACATGAGCCGTGATGTCGCTCTTTGGTCAAAGTGTTCTTTCAGTTTCCAAAGTTCCATCGGGCAGCCCCGGTGGATTCACATGACAAAGCTAAGAAAGCAGCCTTGCTGCCCCAGCATCTGCTGAGCTCTTTAAGCCCCGATCCCCGTTGCCAAAAGAGTCCCTTCTGACGAGTGGAGACCCTGGGGTACAGAGGAGAACTGCTCCAGGCGGCGCTTCGGGCTGGAATCTTAACAGACCAGATCAGCATGCGTTTTCCCGTGATGGTGTGGGCAAGCCAAAACCAAATTCGCTCCTGTGGAGTCCGGGCTGGCTCACGCGATGCTCTAGAACTGCCCCTCTGAGATTATGAGACTGTGCCTCTTCAGGGGAGTGGACAACCACCTTGCTCTCCAGCAGCCCTCATTTCATAACCGAGGGCAAACTCCGCCCCCAAGGGACTTCCCCAAGTGCTTCTGCTCCCCATGCTCCGTGGAAATCCCAAGTGTTTTAGAATGTCAACTCTGCTAGCTCTCTCTGTATCTACGGCTTTTGTTCAATTATTTTTGTGTTTTGGTTTTTGGTTCACACCTCACCAAATATTTATTCCCTCCCCACTGGGAGCCCCCACCCCACCCCACCCTGGTGGTGGAGTGGGTTACCTATATCCGTTAACCTGCAAAGTCACTGGTTCAAACCACTCAGCTACTCCTTGGTGGAAAGATGAGTCTGTCTGCTCCCATAAAGAGCTGCAGCCTCTCAGAAGCACAGGGGCAACGCTAGTCTGTGCTACGGGGTCTCTGTGAGCGAGAACTGACTCGATGGCAGTGACTTTGGGGTCAGCAATGATAAGCTGGAGTTTATGGCCTATGGGTGGTCTCTTTGAGACACACCTAGAGCCTCTTGGTTGATAGATAACGAACAATCTGATGTGGTAATCTTTTGTGTCGTTGCTTGTTTGTTTATGTGGGATTTCCAACCCATTACGAAGTTCTTATCCACTGAAGACAAAGTGGGTGCATAAGCAAATGTGATGAAGAAAGCTGATGGTGTCCGGCTATCAAAAGATATAGTGTCTGGGGTCATAAAGGCTTAAAGATAAACAAGGGGTCATCTAGCTGAGAAGCAACAAAGCCCGCATGGGAGAAGCACACCAGCCTGTGTGATCATGAGGTGTTGATGGGATCAGGTATCAGGCATCAAAGGTCCGAAACAAAACAAACAAAAAGCATATCAATGGGAATGAGGGGGAGGGCAGAGTGGTGATCCAAAGCCCATCAGTAGTCAATTGGACACCTCCTGTCAGAACAGCACAAGGAAGAGAAGAGCCAGTCAGGGTGCAGTATAGCACCGATGAAACACACAACCTTCCTGTAGTCTTTTCATGATTCCTTCCCACCTACCCCCACTACCATGACCCGAATTCTATCCTACAAATCTGGCTAGACCAGAACATGTATAGTAGTACAGGTAAGAGCTCCCAACACAGGAAATCCAGAACAGATCACCCCCTCAGGACCAATAAGGGGAACAGCAATACCAGGAGGGTAAGGGGGGGCGAGGATTGTTAGGGGTAACCCATCACAATGATTGACATATGGCCCCCGTGCCTGGGGGATGAACAGCATAAAAGTGGGTGAAATGAGACAGCAGTCAGTGTAAGACATGAAAAAAAAAAAA